GCTGGGATGTAGGCATGCATGCATGCATGTATCTATGTACGTATGTGTTGTGTATGTGTATCTATGTGCGGTATGTATGTAGTGTATGTAATGTGTGTAGGTGTGTATGTATGAATGTAATGTAATGTACTGCCATGTAATATAATGTAATTCATGTGTGTAGTGAACGTGTGTACGTAAGTATGTAAAATGCATATGTATGTATGGCATGATTGAAATGTATGTATGTATGTGTGTATGTATGTATGTATGTATGTACGTACGTATGTATGTATGTCTGTAATGTATGTGTGTATGTATGTATGCATGCATTCATTCATGCATGCATGCATGTGAGTATGTATGTATGGCATGTAATGTAATGTAATGTAACGTATGTAATGTAATGTCATGTACTGTAATGTAATGTATGTATGTATGCTTGTATGTATGTATTAATGAATTGTACGTACGTATGTATGCACTGCATGTATGTATGTATCTATTTGTATGCAATGTGTGTGTGATCTATGTAATGTATGTAATGCTTGTAGTGTATATGTGATGTATGCATTTGCGTAATTTATGTATGAATGTACGTAATGTATGTGCGTATGTAACCTAATGTAATGTAATGTAATGTAATGTAATGTATTATAACGCAATGTATTGTAATGTAAGGTATGTATGTATCTATGTATGTATGTATGTATGTGTATGTATTGTAATGTAATGTAATGTAATGCAATGTACGTGTGTGTGTATGTATGTATGTCTGTCTGTCTGTCTGTCTGTCTGTCTGTCTGTCTGTCTGTATGTATGCAGTTTATGTATGTATGTATGCATGTATGTATGTATGCATGTATGTATGTATCGAACGCATGTCATGTAAGGTGGTGTAGTGTGAAGTAATGTAGTGAACGTATGTCTGTAAGTATGCGCTGTGCTGTAATGTAACGTAGTTTAATGTCATGCCATGTCATGTAATGCGTGTACGCGTGTTATGCATGCGTGCAAGTTCTGTAATTTAGCGTATATGTGTGTGTCTATGTATGCATGCATGTAATGCACGCATGTATGTGTGTAATGTATGTGTGTATTGCATGTTCACATGTGTGTGTGCACTTCATGTGTGTATACATGCTCGTATACATGTATGTACATGTGTAATTTATGCAATTATGTAACGTGTGTGTCTGTGAGTGTGTAATGTAAATAAGCATTGAATATGTGTGTGTGTGTGTGCATCTATGTAATCAATGTGTGTTTGTATGCAATGTATGTAGCTGCGTGTATATAGGAAGGTGTGCGTGCATATATGCATGTATGTGTTGTGATACGGGCGCAAGCCAACAACGACCCATATAAGAAAAACTCCTCCTAGAACAAAGTCACAGGACCTGTGCAACAAAATCCTCTGCTACCACAATATATGAGTTTCTATTTTTTTGCTCATCAGTTGTAATAGTGTTGAATTATGTTTTTACATTTGCTTAGGCATATACGTACACCGCTTTCTACATACCTTCCTTTGGGTAAAACTGCTATGACACATTCCTGTAGCCAAAACTTTTGGATATACTTTTTGTTCACCCAAGATATTTGCCACATAACCTTCCTGTGCACGAAACAAACTCTGACGGGACATGCTCTTTGCACAACGCTTTCGTTGCTCATCCATCCCTGTTTGACATCTATAGTTGTCCCATTCTCTGCCTTGTACATGCTGATGCTACTTGTAATTTTCATGCAAAGGCCAAAAAGCCGATAAGAAATTGAGAATAAGGAATCTGCCATGTTATCTTAATCTGGGCTTCTCTGTTTGTACCACTTTTTATTCTGCAATACTTCGGCTGTTTGTCTTGGGCTTTCAAAATCTGACTTCCACTTAGAATACATAGTATCCTTTGAGAACTGATGATGCCCAACTATGAAAATCCAGTATATTGATTGCCCTTGCTGCGTTTAGCTTAGCCCAAAAATATTTTCCAATTTTCTGCGCAAACCTCAGCGCTTCTGATGCATACTTGCCGCAGGAAACACTCGTTCATGCACATGTTTTCGCATATTTGTGACCATGTTTTGCAAATAGATAATCAACTTGAATCATAGTCATGAGCGGGTCCAGCGGGTCCAGCGGGTCCAGCGGGTCCAGCGGGTCCAGCGGGTCCAGCGGGTCACCAGTCTAGCGCGTCCAGCGGGTCCAGCGCGTCCAGCGGGTCCAGCGGGTCCAGCGGGTCCAGCGGGTCCAGCGGGTCCAGCAGGTCCAGCAGGTCCGCGGGCCCAGTCCAGCGCGTCCAGCGGGTCCAGCGGGTCTAGCGGGTCCAGCGGGTCCAGTGGGTCCAGCGCGTCCCGGGTCCAGCGCGCCCAGCGGGTCCAGCGGGTCCAGGCGGGTCCAGCGGGTCCCAGCAGGTCCAGCGGGTCCGCGGGCGGGCCCAGTAGCGCGTCCAGAGGGTCCAGCGCTCCAGCGCGTCCAGGGGGTCAGCGGGTCCAGCGCGTCCCCAGCGGGTCCAGCGCGTCCAGCGGGTCCAGTGCGTCCAGCGGGTCCAGCGGGCGGGTCCAGCAATTCCAGCGGGTCCAGCGGGTCCAGCGTGTCCAGCGGGTCCAGCGGGTCCAGCGGGTCCAGCGGGTCCAGCGGGTCCAGCGGGTCCAGCGCGTCCAGCGCGTCCAGCGGGTCCAGCGGGTCCAGCGGGTTCAGTGCGTCCAGCGGGTCCAGCGGGTCCAGCGGGTCGTGCAGCGGGTCCAGCGCGTCCAGCGGGTCCAGCGGGTCCAGCGCGTCCAGCGGGTCCAGCGGGTCCAGCGGGTCCAGCGCGTCCAGCGGGTCCAGCGGGTCCAGCGCGTCCAGCGGGTCCAGCGGGTCCAGCGGGTCCAGCCGTGACCAGCGCGTCCAGCGGGTTCCAGCGGGTCCAGTGCGTGCAGGGGGTCGCGCGCAGCGCGCCAGCAAGGTTCCAGCGCAGTCCAGCGGGTCCAGCGCGTCCAGCGGGGCCAGCGCGTGCAGCGGGTTCACATCGCACCAGCGGGTCCAGCGGGTCCAGGCGGGCCAGCGGGTCCAGCGGGGTCAGCGAGGTCCGCGGTCCAGCGCGTCCAGCGCGTCCAGCGGGTCCAGCGCGTCCAGCGGGTCCAGCGCGTCCAGCGGGTCCAGCGGGTCCAGCGGGTCCGCGGGCGGGCCCAGTCCAGCGCGTCCAGCGGGTCCAGCGGGTCCAGCGAGTCCAGCGGGTCCGGGTCCAGTGGGTCCAGCGCGTCCAGCGGGTCCAGCGCGTCCAGCGGGTCCAGCGCGTCCAGCGGGTCCAGTGGGTCCAGCGCGTCCAGCGGGTCCAGCGCGTCCAGCGCGTCCAGCGGGTCCAGCGGGTCCAGCGGGTCCAGCAGGGTCCAGCACGTCCAGCGGGTCCAGCGCGTCCAGCGGGTCCAGCGGGTCCAGCGGGTCCAGCGCGTCCAGCGGGCGGGTCCAGTCCAGTGCGTCCAGCGGGTCCAGCGCGTTCAGCGGGTCCAGCGGGTCCAGCGGGTCCAGTGGGTCCAGCGCGTCCAGCGGGTCCAGCGCGTCCAGCGGGTCCAGCGGGTTCAGCGGGTCCAGCAAGTCCAGCGGGTCCAGCGGGTCCAGCGGGTCCGCGGGCGGGCCCGGTCCAGCGCGTCCAGCGGGTCCAGCGCGTCCAGCGGGTCCAGCGGGTCCAGCGGGTCCAGCGGGTCCAGCGCGTCCAGCGGGTCCAGCGCGTCCAGCGGGTCCAGCGGGTCCAGCGCGTCCAGCGGGTCCAGCGCGTCCAGCGGGTCCAGCGCGTCCAGCGCGTCCAGCGGGTCCAGCGCGTCCAGCGGGTCCAGCGCGTCCAGCGCGTCCAGCGGGTCAGCGGGTCCAGCGCGTCCAGCGGGTCCAGCGGCAGCGGGTCCAGCCGTCCAGCGCATTCAGCTACAGAAACGCGGGCGTAAGCCCAAGTCGAGCGAGGGAAATGTTCACCGTCTATTTTGCGGGCGGGTCAGCGTCTATTTTGCAAGCAAGTTGCTTCTTCCTAGAAGGACATGACCACAGGTGCTTGCAACATGGACTCCAAGTGTCCATCGTACGGTCCCCCCCCCCCCCAACCCCTCCCCCAAACCCCTCGAGTCTGGGCCTTCGGCGCCGGCGCGCAGGAGCCGCCGCGGCTCGCCGCAAGGCCCAGCCCCTTCGGCTTGCCAGGGCGCCGGGGCAGCGCGGCGCTGTGGGTCGGCCGGCGCACCACAGGGCGGGGGCCCTGCGCGAGTGGCATCGATGCTTTGGGGTCGTTTGGGTCGTTTGGGGTCGCTTGCACGGCTCGCTTGGTGCTTACCTTTCTTTTTTCCTCCGTGGGCCGCAGCAGTGGTTGGCCCACTTTGAGTTGCTGCAACAAAAGGTTGGCTGAAACCCCGACAAGTCGCCGCGCTTGCAGGCGCAAAGCCTCCCAATGAGAAAAATAAATGGGAGGGAATTTTTGTTGGTCACCGAAGTTGGGAGGCACGAATCAAGCATTCAAAGCGCTCCTACTGCCCCTGCCGGAGGCTGGCGGAAAAACACAGCCCAAGCGCCCGCTGCAGGGCCTACTGAGCCTCTTGGGCAGCGCAGGTGGCTGCAGGGCAGCCATGCTGCAGTCTTGGACTTGCTACTTCTTGCTTGTGACGACTAGGGGAGGTCGGTACAATGCCTATCCATCTGACAGATCACAGCAAATTCCGCAACAAAATTAAGAACATGCTGAAATGCTACATTGCAAGAAATCGCTCCTTTGCTGGTGTTTCGTGGTTCTTGTTGTTTATCTTTATGCTGAGCCATGCTGGTCAGTTTTCCAGCCTTGAGAATGTGTACACGAGAACCACCCGCTGAATTCCTCTAGATGCCATACGGCCATACCTGCCAACTCACCTTCATCCAAATCCATGCCTTCATCGGATTGAACCCCACTGATGCCCCAAACAGGACCAAACCCGACCAAAGGTGGACTGCAGACCCTTGGGGACCTGAAACATCCCTAACACCCCCCCTCCCCCCCTCCCCCCCCCCCGGCCCGCGCGCAAAGGTCCTGGCACCTTGGAGCGCCTTATCGACGTCGCTGGTTCCAAGGTCCGTCCACTTGTCACGTAGGTTGGCTTCCTTCCACTTCTTCCGTAGGATAATCGCCCAGTGAAACCAAAGTGGGTTGCTATGCACACTTCCACGGGGATTTGTTAGGTACCATAAACAACGGGGTCATCGTGATGACAGAGTGCGTTGATGGAAGGCCATGCAGGAATGGTCCATCAGTCAGAACCAGAGCTGATATAACTTCTGAGATACGGTTGTTCCCCTGCCGCTCCGGCTGGACTATTGCGAGCCTCGTCATCCCTGGCTAAGGCTGATGCCCTGCGTCGTCCCCCTTCTTGTCACTATCCCTGCAGGCGTACAGTATGTCTGTGTGTGTGTGCGGGTGTTGTGGGCGGGTGCGGGTGCGTGCGCGCCTGGGTGCGCACGTGCGTCGATGGGTATGTGTAGCGGGTTAACCACACTGACCAAGTGCTGCAAAATCAAACCAACAAGTACTCGATGCAGCTATCAATGCCTGTCTCTCCCTTACCGTGATAACTAAATGAGAAAGTAAGGTTGGGGCCCTGGGTACCACAGCACAAACACACAAGCCAGAAAAGCAAATGTAAAGCAGACATGTTGGCAGCATCGGCACGTGTCTTGCAAATATATTTTCACACTTCAAGCACCGCGTGCGCGCAACCTTCTCGACCAAGCAACCCAGCAACTCAAGCCTGTCTCTACCTCGCTCATCGCGACGGTCTCTATATCTGTCATCCTGCGCTCAACACCAGCACGGCTGTCCACAGCTGTCATCCGCCTCCAATTGGTTCCTGCCAATACTTACAGCCAACACAATTTGCTCGACTCTAGTGTGGCGTTGCCCCTTTTGGGCAGGGCGAACAAGCTCCTCACAACCCCAGGACTGTCCTTCCACTGCCTCTCGTCACGAGGCTTCCTGCAAAGCAAACTGAGTAATGTCATTCAATCCTGGCCCAAAGACATGCAAAGAATCAAAGGCTGGTCGCAATGGTGTCCGGTTGGGACTGGCCCCTCCTCGCCTTCTGCTCAGGTTTTAAAATGGGAACCCCTCTTCCGAGGGCTTCGAAGGGAAACCATGTCAAGCCCACCGAAAACGAGGATCCCTTTTGAATTCTATGCTGGCAGTCCTATCTCGCACATCTCTTTCGTCGCGGCGGTCGCGCTCGCGACTGTCGCGCCGACGATCCTCACGGCCCAGGGAAGTGCAGTCACTCCCTGCGAAGCCGGGGGGAAGACACACAACTGCCCTCGCCAAGGGTTCAGCCAACATAACCTTGCTCCCAGGACACTTTGAGCCAAGAAAGGTGAGAGATCTAAACAGACTGAAACAGAAAAAAACGTTGAGCCCTGCCCGCTGCTGGAAGGGGATCAAATTCGAACCCCAGCCGTGGCTCATTTTCGAGCGCATGCACGGGACTCGGGGTGGGTTTGTGGTCGTTTTGGGCTTGGCTCAGGCTGGTTTAGCGGTGTAGAACTCAGGGTTGGATTATGGTGTTTTTTGTTTTGTTTTTATTGTCAGGTTTAACTTGCCCCGTGTTCAAAAACGGGCCGTTCGAAAAGAAGGTGCTTCCCCCTGCAGCAACATAGCATACAAGCAAAGCTCTTAGACTCACTTAGCCAGGCCAATGCACATCTCAGCCAGCGGCTGGTCTAGGATTGCGATACCTCGGCGCATTAAGAGGGCATGCGCTCTGCCACACGTCACAAATCTAGGTATCTCTGCTCGTCATGCGAGTAAGTACTTTAGCCTCCTTGACCGACTTTTTGGCAGGGCTGTCCTCAGATCCCCTGGCAACACAGTTCATTTTAGGGGGTTAAATGGACAACCCCACTAAAAAGCCTAAAAAGCTTTAAAAAACTTTAACAAGCTAAGGGGATATGGTGGGAGGCCCACCAGGTTGACATGAAGGCTCTCCTAAGCTGTGCGAACCTGTCCCGCACATCGCGGCCTTCCCAGCGGCCTCACATCCGCATCCCGCGACCAGACTCGAAGACTGACAGTTCCATGGCATGAAATGGGCGGTCAAAACTTCCAAATGGCCTGGGTCAAAAAGGCCTATACCCAAAACGGAATCCTGGTAATCAATGGAAACCAAAAACTAAAACCTGCGGTTTTTTGGTGGGTCTAAACAAAAAACAAAAAATCTTTGACCCCTGCAATGGTTGCTTGCTTGTCGCTTTCGGTTTTTGGAGCAACATGACCCCCAGCTTTTCTTGATGCGTCTCCAAGTCTAAGTGGCATGCGAGGGTTGCGGACGTCCTCCCGCCGCCTGCAGAATAACAGGCTCAGTGAGCACTGTTTCTACAAGGCCCCAAACCCATCGAAGGAAAAGCCGGTGACAAAAGAGTGCCTGCGAGGGTGAAGAAAGAGCTATTGTCAGTCTGCTGTTTGCTTGTGGTGCGCACATCCTTGCATGCCTATATGAATGTGCGGCCGTACATGTTTTTTTGTTTGCGTGTTTTTGGGTGTCTGTGTGTGTGTCTGTGTGTGTGTGTGTCCGTGTGTGTCTGTGTGTGTCTGTGTGTGTCTGTGTGTGTGTGTGCCTGTGTGTGTGTGTGTGTGTCTGTGTTTGTGTGTCTGTGTG